AGGAGTGCAAAGGAAATATCAGTACAAGGGTAACCTCTCATTAGTGCTCATTCTTCTGGATGTCTTGTTTAGTTCAGTTAGATTATAGTCACATAAACTGGAATTAACTGGACTAACTTTGTAATCTGAGTCAAACAAGCAAAATAAAATTGCAACCATTGTGACATCTTCCTGGTTTCAGTCATCCTTGTTGAATTGACATCAGATGTACAAAAGCCCATTGGCGAATGTTCAAGCTGTACTAAACATCCATGAATGCTTCTCAATAAACTTGCAACATAAGGCTATGCCAGAAAAAACATGTACCCAGCAGAAAAATATTGACATGCTACATGATTGATTAAGGATGAGTTCTAATGCCATGCATGGAAGGAATCAAGAATGAGAGTAGGCTGGACTCTTTGTCTTTTGAATCTTGTATGTCATGGTCAAATCCTCTCACAACTAGAAATGATGTTGGGTACAGCATAGTAACTTGGAACTTACTACCCCTGAGAAGGATGTGTAAAGCTAGGTGATCAATTACTAAGCAAACCTTATATTTCTCTTGACATGTTTGTGGGGAAAAAAATCACAACATAGAATATTAATAAATGAGAATATGAACAGTCCCAAAAAGTAAATTAGATTCCAAAGACAGTGAGTAACTATTAACAACAACAACATCAAAAAACTCCATCAAGATTATTGCGTCTAAAGTAAAGAAACAGCAATTCTTTAATTCTTTAGCATCCTAAAACAAAAAGGCAGAATTTTTCAATGTGCCTCACTCCAAGGAGAGCAACTTGAACATTGCAAAAACATTGATTATCCAAGGGACAGCATTGCACAATTATGTGTCAATGGTACTCTGTGACCATTATCACCTTCTGGAGCTCCAGATATATTCCTCTGTCAGAAACAGGGCTTCACTATGGTGAACCATTTATCTGCTTGGCTGTGACAAGCCTTATGTTCTAGGATATATGCAATCTAATGTGTAGTAAAAAGTTTAAGGCAGTAAAAAGTTTAGAAGCCCATCCAGATGAATATTTATGGCCTTCTGTGCATAGGAACTCACAGAAGCTTATGTACCACTTAGGTTGGCTGCTCAGAAGACCACTCTATCTAATGAAAGGTCATTCTGTTATGTTCTAAAGGAGAAAAATCAAAACCTATAGCAGCATTTTTCACACAGTCATCTTCCAGGTTAAGCAAGCTTACATAAAGAGATCCAGCATACCATAACTTCAAGTTTTCTTTTTGGTTCTTTTCTCTCTTCCTGCTTAAATAAAGAAGGAATAAGAGATTCTGGATTCCCAAAATGAAGAAATAAACAAACAAACAAAATGGTTAAACAAATAAATGTTTCTCAATATTACATAAGCAGAAACAAGAAAACTTTATTTTATTTTATATTTTGCCATGGAACAAATGCTGTTATGACTCAGTTATCACAATTCTGATGCAGTTGACAGTAAAGCATTAATTGAGGGAGAAAATTATTTTAGAATAGGTTGCCACACTGGATTTGAAAAGAGAAAAAGCAAAGTCAGAAGCATCAGCACTTGTTTGTGGACACCACAGTTTATTAAACTAAGGTCAGCAGTATGTCTTGAATCCAGTAGTACAGCTGATTTCCCAGTTTGAGATAATTGAAATTAAATTTTTTTAAAAAGTTGATTAACAGCATTTCCTCCTTCCCATCATTATGATCTGGACATTAACTCCAGCCAGTTTTACCAAAGAAAAAAATTAAATCAGAAATTCATATTTTGTAGTTCCTTAGAGACTCATGCATAGGCCTTCTGATTTCATTGCTCTTATAGCAGGTACACAGGCTGTGTAAGAACTAATAGTTCCAAGACAAGTATACCATGATTCATGTTATTTTACTTTTCATCTTGGTTAAATTATAGGATTATTTATTACTTTGTCAATTTCTCATTGGTGAAATCATACTGTAGTATTTTTGCTAGAAGTGGTTCTGGCAGTAGAATTACAGGTTTTGTATCCGTTTTCAAATGCATAGTTCAAAGCACAAATCTGAAGTAAAGTGTGCAATTCCAGCACTTGCTAATATACTAAAAGCAATTTTTGGCTGTTCTTAAACACCCAAGTGCTATATAGATTCAGTCACATTATGCATTGGAACAAAATAATCTATACAGAACTTCATATATTCATTCCTTTAAATGTACGTGAAACTTTTTCTCTCTTCTTTCTCTCTACATATCTTTTTGTCTTTATCTTTTATTTATTTTTTTGTCTTTGTCTTTTATCTTTTTGTATTTTTGAAGTTTATCCATGTCCTTGGGTGATGAAAGAATAGAATTAGCTGCTTAGCCAGTTGAAGGGAAGTGGTATTCCTGAGGGCTTTATACAGCCCCCACAAGTAGAATCTCTCACTACAATAATGCCAATATCTGTTAATTCCAGTTATCAATCAACAAATAATTTTGAGCATAAACCCTACACCTAGTTCTGTTCCAGGTATCATTCCTTTTTGTATGTGAAATTGTCCTTTCTACATTCAAGAAGCTTCTCAAGTGGATACATTATAATTTGTAAAAATTAGTCACAAAATAAATGGTTGGTAGAGACTTTTGCAAGGTATACAAAGAGTACTAATCTTAGGTAAGTTAGCAGATTGCTTTAGCTATCAGCTGGGGTTCAATGATAAATGACATTGCCATCTAGTGCCACCTTGTTAGGTTAATGCTGGGGAAACGACCATGCATTTTGAACTTCTAAGCTGCTATCTTATCTAGATTACCACATAGCACATTAAATGTTTTCTTTATAATCTATGTTGTTAGCTTGAAAGTAACCTGTTTTCTATCATCATGATCCTGATAGTTGGCATTGTTAATGTGGTTTCTTTGTGATATAACTGCTGATTACATCTGGAAGGCTTAAGCAGGGCTAGAATTATAATTAATTATGCTTTATGCCTTGGGAGAATTTGGAAATCAGAGCCTAGAATAAAAAAGAAAAACCAAAAGTTGACTATTATGTCAAGAACAATGAAGAATCTGAGATTTTACCTTGATTACAAGCTAGCAGGTTAGCCTGCTAGAGACTCATGGATTCTGGTGGAAGACAGGCAGTTCCTAGATCAGACACAAAGGATTTTATCACTCATGCCACAGCAAGCCACATAACATTCATGTTTACATTGGTTCTCTTTGATAAGGCCCCCTCTACCTTTTCACAGTCCAGGAAACACAAATAATTTAATCATTGCCACATATTCTCTTCTCTTTCTAGACTATTCAATCCACTTAGATATAGAAGAATAGTAAGAATAAATTTGTGAATAAATTCCACTTAACTGAATTCCTAACATTTGTTTGGAGAACCTAGAATATGTGGAGAAAAAACACTGCATAGAATCCCAATACATAAAGAGATAGTTTTGATTAACATGATACTTCCAGAGTCCTTAAGTAGACCTGAGTTTTTCTCCTACATGCATACCAGCAACGTGATTGTAGCCATCAAAGCTGTGTGCTACTGCATTGCCTTTTTATTTTAATGAATTCTCAGTGTCCTTATTTATAAGATGGAGGTAGTAAAATTCTTTGCCACAAATGCCTTATAGGTTATCATAATGATCAATTAAGACTATGAATGAAGGCTCTTGTAAAGCAAAACTACGAACCCAGTGTAAATATAAAGCAGTAGGGTATTATTGTTGTTAATCTTGTTGTTACTTTGGTCAGTGTTGCTTAAAATAAATCTCCAAAGTTCTTAGTTGTTAAAAGTCAAATATAATATAAAGATACATGTCTCTACTTAAAATGTTTTATTTGGGAAGTAATAATTGCAATTTGGGACATACCCACAGACTAGATAATCTTTTGTATGGCAAAAAAAAAAAAAAAAAGAAGGTTGGAAGATTTCTAAAAAGCGAAAATGTTACATGTTGTTTTGCAAGAAAGCTTATTGGCACTATTAATGTTTTGGGGAGCTCACACACTCTGATTGGTGAGTGACAGAAGTGAGTAAAACTAGTCTTATAGCTGCAGCAGGTTGTTTCAGGAGCTATTCAATACAACTGGTTTCAAGTTACAACAAGCAGTTCCAGCAGCCAGGCTTGCAGAGAGTTGCATTCTTGCATCACAATATGTGCCCTGAGTGCTTTTTCCTCTTCACTTCTCAGTAGTGTTTTAGTGGTACATGGTAAGAATGACCCAATTTACATGATCGACTTTCACACAGTAGAATACATGTTGCCAGAAAAATTTTAAATTTTTTTATTCTCAAAGATGGCTTTCATTACAATGTTTCATATTTTCCATTAAGTTAAATGAGACAAAATTTTGTTATTATAGCAAAATTTATTTGTGTGTTAGATTATAGTAAACTTTATAAGTATCACATATTTTTGAATTTAAAATATGTAAAATTTTGGGACATTATTTGTTTTGTATATATTTAAGGTAAACAACATAATGTTTTAATATACATAGTGAAATGCTTACTATAGTCAAGCTATTTAATATATCTATTATCTCTCATAGTCACTCTTTACTGTGTGTATGTGGTAAGAGTACCTACAATCTACTCTCGGTAAATTTCCAGTGCATATTATAACACAATATTGTAACTATAGTCTTATATTGTTCCTTGGATTTGTAGATATATTCATCCTACATATCTGCCATTTTGTGCTCTTTGACCTATATCTCTTCTTTTCCTCTCCACTACCACTCTATTCTTTATGTATTTAACTTAGAAACTGTGGTACACATACACACCCTTACCTATCAACATGTGTGTGTATAATGGAATATTACTCAATCTTTAGAAAAAGGAAATCCTGTCAATTGCAACAACTTGGATGAACCTGGATGACATTATGTTCAGTAAAATAAGCCAGAGGAGTACAAATACGGTATTCCACTGATGTGTGGAATCTAAAACAAACAAAAAACTTGACAAGATTTATATTTGAATGGACTGACTATAGCTAGTGTTGTTCATATACCTTTCTTTCTTTCTTTTTTTAACTCTAGTTAATCCTGGAGAGGTACTACCTCACATATGTAAAGCTGGAGAATTTCGCTGCAAAAACAGACACTGTATCCAAGCTCGGTGGAAATGCGACGGAGATGATGACTGCCTAGATGGAAGTGATGAGGATTCAGTAAACTGCTGTATGTTCTCCTTCAATTCACCTAAAGCCTGTGTTTACCTGAGTCTTTGAGTGTGTGAATTATCAAGGCAGTTTGTGAAAATCTGAAAATATCTTTGATGCAAATTGAACTTAATTTTTCAGTTCTCCTTTTGCATAAAGATTAGACCCTAGTTTGCCTCCTTTGCATAGTTTCAAAGCAGTTTTTCTCTTCCTTTCGCATCCTTAATATTATCATTTTAGTTGCTTTAGGAATTTTCTCCTTTTATACTCCATGATATCAGCATCACCATGACACTGTCAGAGGTTGCTATAGGGAACCTCTTCGAATATTTTAATTTAAAGATTTGGAAAATCAATTTAAACTCCATCAAGACAGAATTATTGGTACAGAAGGTCACTATCTACTCCCCTGCTCCTTGGCAACAGAGCCTTGAAGAAGATCCAAGGAAACAGACATGGGTTTGGAACATGTTACTATATAGCTTCACTGTCTCAGGGCATGGTAGGAAACACATATGGGCACTCAGAAATCAAGGTTTCATTTTCGCCACTTTGGCTTCTATTTAGCTGTTTTTCATCTGCTGGGATAAGAATAGTGTTGTGTTGCTGGTAGGCATAAGAAAATTTCTCAAATATGTGTTAGGAAAATATTTTGGGAAGTACATTAAATAATATTTTGAAAATATATTTGATTACAGTCACTAGCCAAGTGATTTTGAGAGATAGAAAATATTTTTTTTTCCTTTTTTTTTAAATTGACTTTAGCTTTTGGGGTACATGTACAGATCATGCAGGATTGTTGCATAGGTACATACATGGCAATGTGGTATGCTGCCTCCGTCCCCGTCACCTATATCTGACATTTCTCCCCATGTTATCCCTCCCCAACCTCCCTACCCCTCACTGCCCCTCCCCTAGTCCCCCCAACAGATCCCAGTGTGTGATGCTCCCTTCCCTTCATCCATGTGTTCTCATTGTTCAACACCCACTTATGAGTGAGAACATGCGGTGTTTGATTTTCTGTTTTTGTGTTAGTTTTCTCAGAATGATGGTTTCCAGCTTCATCCACGTTACTACAGAGGACATGAACTCATTTTTTTTTATGGTTGCATAGTATTTTACAGTGTATATGTGCCACATTTTCCTTTCCCAGTCTATCATCGATGGGCATTTGGGTTGGTTTCAGGTCTTTGATATTATAAACAGTGCCACAATGAACATACATGTGCAAATAATAGAACAATTTATAATCCTGTGGATATATACCCAATAATGGGATTGCTGGGTCAAATAGAATTTCTATTTCTAGCTCCTTGAAGAAGCACCACACTGTCTTCCACAATGGTTGAACTAATTTACACTCCCACCAACAGTGTAAAAGTGTTCTTATTTCTCCACATCTGCTCCACCATCTGTTGTCTCCAGAGTTTTTAATGATCGCCATTCTAACTGGCATGAGAGGGTATCTCAATTTGGTTTGGAATTGCATTTCTCTAATAACGAGTGATGATGTGCATTTTTTTAATATGGTTGTTGGCCTCATAGATGTCTTCTTTTGGAAAGTGTCTGTTCACATCTTCCACCCACTTTTTAATGGGTTTGTTTGTTTTTTCTTGAAAATCTATTTTAGTTCTTTGTAAATTCTGAATATTAGCTCTTTGTCAAATGGGTAGATTGCAAAATTTTTCCCATTCTGTTGGTTGCTGGTTCACTCTAATGATTGTTTCTTTTGCTGTACAGACAATCTGGAGTTTAATATTTTATATGAAAAGAAGTCATGTGTTGAATGAATCTATCTTTGATCTTTTATTTTGACCTGAGTGCCTTGTTTTTTAAAAATTGTTTTCTTTCAATAAATGACCTCTTTTAGTTTTGAACTAACGAGAGTCAATTGATAGTCCTTCATTTCCCTTTTTAAAAAAAATTAAGAATATGTAAATAAAGTTTTAAAGATCTTTTTTAAGAATGAACAGAATTAGTCTGGGCATCCATTTTATTCAAACATTAATACTTTAGGGCAAATATCTAAAAAATATGGACTTTAAAAATATTTTTAAATTTATGTATTAATAAATGCATAAATACAGCACTATATATTCTCTTGGTTTCCAGACTCAGGCCTGGCTTTGACATTATGTACTGCTTATTTTTCACCCCATTAATATCCGTCTGGCAAAGTCTAAACCCACAGATAAAATTTTAGATACTAAATTGGTATAATTAGTCAAAAGTTTTGGAGTGAGAGGAACATTTCAGCTGAGGGTAAAGAGTATTTTTGTCCTACTAATTTACATAAATGAGTATTATTTAGTGACTAATTGCCTCACTCCTTGACTCACAATCAGAACTGTTATTTTTTTAAATTATTTTTAAGACTAATCAAGTGCAGTAGCGAAAAGGGAGGAAATAATAGAACAAGGAGTTTGATTTGTAACTGAGTGTAAACAGTCAATTGAGATAACTCACTACCTTTGGGCCAGCCTATCTGTGGTTGTGATGAATGCTCCCTATATATCAGCTTCCTCTGTAGTCAACTTTATATGCCTGAGCAGAGTATAAATATTGTGTCTCAGTATTCATGTGTTGGTTCCTTAGGTGAATGCTTTCATCAGTGTTACTTGTATTTTCTAGCAAATTAACAAGAAAACTCATCTCCTCTATGGGTAGAGGGGGCATTGCATTTGTACTGTTAATTATAGTGTTAAAATTTCTAGTCAGTAATTTTATCTTAGTATCATCACTTTTCATTCCATCACCCAAGTCATGAGTTTTGTTTTTTGTTTGTTTGTTTGTTTGTTTTTTAATACTGCAGAACCTCTTTTACTTACAGTTCACACTTAATTTTTTTTTTTTTGAGACAGAGTTTCACTCTTGTTACCCAGGCTGGAGTGCAATGGCGCAATCTCGGCTCACCGCAACCTCCGCCTCCTGGGTTCAGGCAATTCTCCTGCCTCAGCCTCCTGAGTAGCTGGGATTACAGGCACGTGCCACCATGCCCAGCTAATTTTTTGTATTTTTAGTGGAGACGGGGTTTCACCATGTTGACCAGGATGGTCTCGATCTCTCGTGATCCACTCGCCTCGGCCTCCCAAAGTGCTGGGATTACAGGCTTCAGTTCACACTTAATTTAATAAATAAATCCTATTTCTTCTACTTCCTAAATAAATATTTTTTTATATTTACTTCCTCTCAATTTTTATTGGCTAAATTAGCTTCTCAGATTAACTCAAAAAATGTTTTTCTATTATTCCTGCCACTATTCTTCCCTTCACTTTAGCCCACTTTTCACACTATTTTCAGAAAGATATTTATAGAATAAAATCTATTCTTATAATTTCAGTGACTGCATAGCCAGAGGATAAATTTTAAAATCTGTTGACTCACATATAAAATACTTCCTGCTCTGTCTTGTATTTATATTTCTAATCTTTAATCTATCTTGCATTCACTTACCCTTTTTATTCTTATCAAGTTGAACTGTAGGTAGATCTCCAAAACATGTCCTGTTTTTTTCCTCTTCAATACTGCACTATTTTATGTCTATGGAATTCAACATAGCTTATCATTACCTTCTTAGGAATATCTTTTCTGACTACCAAAGAATCTTTTTCTCAACGCAGCCATTTGGAGTTAAACATTCATCTCCTATACAATTTTTTATTAGAGTAGTTGCCAAATCAGTTTGCAATTACATGCTTACTTATTTGGTACGTCTAATAGGTTAATATTTTCATGAGAAGACACCTTTTGTTGTAGTGTTACGTAGTCTCTGGGTCTAGCACAGTGCCTGGCACATGAATGAGTGGGTGACTCGATAAGTGAGGCAATAAGCAGTTACACACCTCTAACCACCTTCCAGCACTTTGATGTCTTCTCTAAGCATTGTAGTGATTCTAAGCAACATCTTAGTTCTGAGATCTCATGGTAAATATTCTAATACCACACAGCTCATTTCAGAAGATTATTTTAAATATTAAACACTCATAATCTGCAACCTTGAATTTGTTATTCTACTTTCTATCCTTCAGTGTTTCAACTCCAAACCAAAAGGCGTTATTTATTATTTTACTGGTAAAGATTGCAAAAGTCCTTGATTAAGCCTCACTGAAGTGCAAATGTATAATCTTGGTACTTTAAATTGTTGGCTCTCTAATATATCAGATGACTTCTATTTCTCTCAGCAGCTATTCTTGCTGAAGTCCCTGAAGTGAGTAGAAAATGTAAATCATGCTCAAATACCAGAGAATATAAAGCTTTTCTCCCTGTTTATTTATTTTTTTTTTTGCTATACATCAATAAAAACTTTCTAAAACGTGATAAAACCACTTATCAACAAAGCTACTTTAACGAAAAAGTGTTTTATAGAAACTTACTGGAAATGCACACATTTGCTATGCAACAAACATGATAAAATAACAATTTTCTAAATTCTCAGTAAAATGAATATAAACGTTTGTTTCTATCATATGGAATTGCAACTACCGGGCATAAAGAAAATTACCCTAAAAACAGTGCTGAAATCCTGAAATACATACTGAAGAGCATGTCAACTCAGTTAGGAATTTATCCTCTGGAATGGAGAAAAAAGAATCATAGGACGTTAACATTAAGATGCCCCCGCTGTTGTGCTTAGATATTGAAAGTTTAATCCTTAGCTGTACACAGCTTCCCAGACGAGCTTTGGTTGCCTCAGTATTTTCTGTGGTTGCATGTTTGTTTGTACAAGGGAAGAAAACTCACGATGATGTTTTTTGTTATTAAAATAATACAGAATCCCATAGTTAACATTAACTCTAGGTCACAAGCGATACGTTTTTCTTTTCTCTGCTTTTCTTTTCATTCCCAAGAAACACTGGACAGGAAGGAATAAAGGTAGGCTTATTTTAATCCCAGGACTTTCAGAGGCTGACACAGGCAGATCATGAGGTCAAGAGATTGAGACCATCCTGGTCAACATGGTGAAACCACGTCTCTACTAAAAACATAAAAATTAGCTCGGCATGGTGGCATGCACCTGTATCCCCAGCTACTTGGGAGGCTGAGGCAGGAGAATTGCTTGAACTTGGGAGGCTGAGGTTGCAGTGAGCCGAGATCGCGCCACTGCACTCCAGCCTGGCGCCTGGTGACAGAGCAAGACTCTGTCTCAAAAAAAAAAAAAAAAAAAGTAGGCTTATTTAATATGTTAAATATTTGAATGGTTATGTTGTTTTTAAATAAAATATTATATATATATATATATGACTAAATTATTTTTGATACATAATTGTTATATTTAGCATTAGGATTTGAGGTTGATTTTAAATGTTCTTGGTCAAAAGTTTTAAGCTGAGTCTCCAGTATAAGGAATGAGAAAACAAACTTAGTGATACAATTGGTTTTATTTATTTAGTTAAATCTTTGAGATGGAGTTTCCCTCTTGTCCAGGCTGGAGTACAATGACACGATCTCAGCTCACTGCAACCTCCACCTCCTGACTTCAAGCAGTTCTCCAGCCTAAGCCTCCTGAGTAGCTGGGATTACAGGCATGTGCCAGCACACCTGACTAATTTTTTGTATTTTTAGTAGAGATAGGGTTTCACCAGGTTGGCCAGACTGGTCTTGAACTCCTGACCTCAGGTGATCCACCCACCTTGGCCTCCCAAAATGCTGGGATTACAGGCATGAACCACCATGCATGGCCATAGAGTTGGTTTTAATGGAGACATAAAAAAAGAATACATTTCCTTTTATTTAAGATTTAACTCCTTGATGTTTTCTATAAAAGCATTACATTTTAACAAAGCAAATATTAATATTTGCTATTAAATACAAGACAATGAATAACAGAATCTATGGCATTGTAATATAATATTATTACCATAACTTTTCTGTAACTATAATTCTAAAATACACAATAATAATATTATTCACAACTTCATCCAATTCTAAATAATTAAACTTGCTTCTCCCTCCCTTCCAGTCAATCATAGCTGTCCTGATGATCAGTTTAAATGCCAGAATAATCGCTGCATCCCTAAGAGATGGCTTTGTGATGGAACTAATGACTGTGGGGGCAATGAAGACGAATCCAATCAAACTTGCACAGGTAAAGGTTTGCTTGGATATGCACATAAATCTCCTCCAAAGTTAGTCTCCATAAAAATGCAAGTCAATGCTTTGAACTAAGCTGAACTTTCCTAGTGCTGATGATTTGATTATTGCAATAGTAAATGAATTCAGAGTTTGATGCCACAAAGGCTAGAATACAAATTATCTTTTACTTAATTTTTGGACATTACTCTGCTTTCCAAACTAATTTGGCACTTCATCTATCCATATGGGTTGACTGTCGATACACTACTTGAACAAGACTTGTCCCTGCTAAATCCTCCTTGGCAGTGAAGGTTGATGTTTGCTAGCATGCTGTGATGCAGGCCATCCCACAGGCAGGAGTGTTTTTTTTTTTCTTGAAAATTATTGAGAAAATAATTTATAAAGTTTATTTAGTCTACTATAGAATACCTCTGTGATTAGTTTTCTATTCATGCACATTATTTATGTGAGATAGGTTTTTTCCCCATGAAATCTCAAGACCACTAGCCTACTGATATCTCCATTTAATAATCTATTCTATTGTAATAAATCTTTGAATCCCTAGGCAGATTCTTATTGAATGGAAATATACAGCTTGTGGTATAGTTTACAACAGAGTGCCAGAAAGGTCATTATTAATCAGGTAAATGTTAAAAAATGATACTGACTAGCAGTAGCCTAGTGCCTCTTTTTAAATGACAAAGAAAAAAATAGTGTATTTGATGACTCATATTGATATGATTCGTAAAAACTGATTTTTTTAAACCATTACATATATCAACATCAAAGCAGATCAACTACCCTATCAACTCTTTCTGTCTTTGCCAGAGTAAGCCTTACTCAATAAGAAGTATTATAAATTACTAGTGAAAAATACAGAGCAACCTGTAGAGAAAAGACCCAGGGGTTGAGAAGACTGGTTTCCACTCTTGGTCACCACCAGTTTTTTTCTCTTGGAAAGACATACCTCTCTGCACTTTTGATTTCCTGCACATTTTTTTTCCAACACAGTAAGAGTATGAATTAACTAGAAATTGTTTCCAGAGAGACTTTCCATATGTACAAAACAACACTGGCAAGAGCAAAACAGTCACCATTCCATAATCCTAGTCCATGTCTTCTATTCAGCTTTTTCCATAATGACATATTTGCTGAGGATCCATGGGCCAGGTATTCTGTTGTCCCCTGATTAAAAACCTCATCTGACATTTTAGAGTAAACAAATTTTTTGAAAGATATTTTCATTTGTCTCGTAACATATCTTTTGCTTTTCAAATGAGTTTCTAAGAGAAAAAGGACCTCTAGAGAACATCTAGTCCTAGGTCCCTACCCTCCAGGCTATATTCATCTTATACATGGGGCATGGGAAAGGGAACTTGCCTAAACTTACATTATTGATAAAAGACTCAGGGAAATTCCATCCGAGAGTTTTGTCTCCAAAGCCATTTCTCTTTATCCCAAATGATATATCCTGCATAATGGTTAGAATTTCAGGTATGATCAGTTTCACTTAACTCAAGTTGCTCTTGCCATATGACTATAATTTACAATAAGACATCTTTCTAAACGAGTGTAATTCTTCTTTTTGGTTCTGTTTTGTTTTGTTTTCAGACAGAGTCTTGCTCTGTCACCAAAGCTAGAGTACAGTGGCACAATCTCAGCTCACTGCAACCTCCACCTCCCAGTTTCAAGCGATTCTCAAGCTGGGACTACAGACACACGACACACACCCAGAATTTTTGTATTTTTAGAAGAGAACAGGATTTTACCATGTTGGCCAGGCTGGTCTCAAACTCCTGGCTGCAAGTGATCCTCCCACTTAGGCCTCTCAAAGTGCTAGGATTACAGGTGTGACCCACCATGCCTGGCCCAATTATTATTCTTTTGAGGTTAAGATTCAATTCAGAGATTATGCTTTATATCATATTAAACAGATCTGCTTTCACCTTAAAATAAAAGGTATTGCTGGTTCAATTTATGATACCATGTTTTCTTCATTTCTATTAGATTTTTAAAATCTACTTGTTTCTACACAGTTTTTAAAGAAGCATTTGTGATTGGCTAGCTATTTACAGTAGTAAAAGTAAAAATGTTTATGTACAAGATCAAACAAAACAATTTTAGTTATTAGGTTGGTACAAAAGTAATTGCAGCTTTAGCCATTAATGTCAGTAGCAAAACTACAATTACTTTAGCACCAAACTAATAAGATTTCTAAAATACTCATGTCCTATGGTCTACTAGGAAATAGAATGTAGCTTGCTTAAATCCCACTTTAAGTGCTGCCAGCTGAAGTCTGCTACTCACTACTAGATCTTCCTGTCAGTATATATATGATAGTTATTACAGTCACTGGACACGTTAAGAACTTGAATAAAAAGAGCAAAGATAAATATATCTTTCTCTTTGCAAGCAATGAAGTACATAGTAATGTTACAATGTACTTCCATTTCACTTTATCAAAATATATAAATAGGTCCCATAGCTTCCCATACTGGAAAAAAATGCCACATTTATATAGACCAGTTTTCTTTCTGGATTTCTATCCATTGCTAGATATAGGTGAATACATGGATGTATATGCTGGATAAAAAGACTTGCCAATGGGGAATTACTTTGTTATTGAATCCACCATCCTGTAGCTCTTTGCATTGTGATTATTTTATATCAAAAGAAACCCATTGTCCACAATAAACCAATTTCCTATTTTTTTAAATTTCTACTTCATGAATTTCTTAACTTCATTAAGTATCTACCAAGGCATTGGTGATAGAATGAAAGAAAATACACAGTGTCTTTCCTCAAGAAACTAAGAGTGAAGACTGAGAGAAAGAAGTGTAAACACGCCGTTCTAGTGCAATAATTGATTATTGATTATTGCACTAGAAAAGTGCTAAATTGATCCACCTAGGAAGAGTAAGGAATTTAGTTTTTAGCTATTTGGGAGAACTTCTTAAAGGGAGTATTGTCTAAGCTAAGCCTTATAAAAAGCTTAAGAAAAATTCTGAAGTGACAATTCCAGCCATTTGATTAGGAAAAATAAATTAATCTGGTAAAACCCAGCACTGGCAAAATTGTGGAAAAAAGGAATTGTCACACACTCTTGGTGAGGATGTGAATGATATTACATCTTGAAAAGCAATTGGCCAAATTCAGTAAATATGAAGATAGGCATACCTTTGACTTTGTAATTCTACTTCTATGTTTATACTCTCATACCTGTGCATGAAGAAAGAGACATGAATAAAAGTTTCCATTGGCTTGTGCAGTACTCAAAAAAAAAATGGAAATAACTGAAATGTCCATTAACAGAATAATGGATAGATATATTGTGTTCTATTCACAGAATGCTATTGATAATTAAAATAACTGAACAAGAACTCAAATATCAATAAAAATAAATTTAAAAATAAAGTTAAATTAAATGAGATACCTTCATCCAAGGGAAAAAAGAAAACAAAACACTAAGTTGAAGAACATAAACAATACCATTTATATGAAGTATAAGATATAAAACAATTTTATAAAGTGTTTATGAATTCATAAATAGGAATATGTCCAGAAATAAAATAAATAAATAAATAAAAAGAAGAGTACCTCTGGAAAGAGAGGGAGAGAAATGTGATTAGGAAAGATTACATAGCAAATTTCAAATTTAACTACATATATTTTTTTCTTATATAAAATAAAAACCTGTAGCAAATATAGAAAAAATAGGATTTCATATTGTTGTATAACAGTAAACAGATGTTAATGATATTATTTCCTATACCTTTCTAGGTGATAGAAATACTTCACTGAAAAAAAAAAAAAGAAACAATTGACCAGAATAAATTTCCCAGGGTGGGGTGAAGTGAATAATAAGAGAAAAGGTTGGAGAATTTGCCCAGAAAAGGAAGCATCACATACACAGGGGGCTGCAGCATGTGGGCACAGTCAGGGTCTGGGCAGCCGTTCTCCCTCAACATCCAGAATAGTGTTGTCTACTTATGAGGGAGACCCAGAGGCCAAAGATGAAAAGTAGTTAGATTTGAAATAATTTTTCCTCACAGTAACCATGATCATTCCTTATATTCAAGCCTAGACAATTTCATATCAGCATTTCCCCCCACCATAGTACTCTGGTTAGATCACATAATATTTGCTCCTCTCACATCCTCTACCAATTTTAACTAAATGCATACTAGATAAATACAACTGCTTTTTAAAAAACCTTAATGTATTTAAAAATTAGACTTTTCTTTACAAAATAATGAGTATGTTTTGATTTGACATCATATGACAATAAATAAAATTAAGTAGAATGCTTTGACTAAAATATAGCAAAAGGGAAGTTTAAGAATAGTGCTATGCTCGAGTTTCCTCTTGGCTGTATAGTTCGTGTGCATTGTGAGAGTTCTCACTGTTACATGGCTGCAGGAGAAGCATGATTACAGTGAATTTCTGATTCAGCAGCTAGATAAACAATTCCCTTGGAGGAGGTATAAATGTCTTATCCTTAAAACAGCATTTGCTGCAAAATTAGAGCCCTGTGGGGCTGCTCCGCTAATCTTGCCTCCAAACTGACTTAGATCTGATGGAGACAAGAAATGAAAAAGTAAATGTTGTGGGTTTGTTTTCAGAAAAGTTTATTGATTAGAAAGTGATAATTTAGTCCACTTGATTATATCATGTAGATAAACAGTCCTTGGAGATTTGTGGAATCAAGCATCTTTCTCATTTGAAATCAGTTAAAATTGCCTGGTAGACTAAGTGAATAATTTTCTCCATGATTAGAACAGACAATGAATTCATATATCTTCAGGGCATACTTTCCCTCAATAATAATCCAGTGAATACTCTTTGGAATAATAGGTCATAACAGTTCCTCCAGCTTCAGAATTAATGAGGTAACACAAATTCCCACACCATCACAATGTGAGATAGGTCATACACAATATGAGACAGGTTCATGGGAGTTCTTTCTCATTTTCCTCTCTAATCACCATAGCTATCCTAATGAAAGAAAACAATCTGATAAAACTTTTCTAGAATTAAACCTGAATTATTAGGAGAGAAAACAGTGACATAAGAGTATCAAATAAAAGAACATTGATTTTGATAAATTTAATATATTCTTATTATGGGCCAATTAGAATTTGGGATAGAAATATGTGATAATGTCTATCTATGTAAAGCAAGAAAATAGAAAAGACTGAAGGAATGAAACAGTTAAAGAATGAAAGAGGAAGAAAGAGCTATAGAAAAAAAAGAAAAGTTTAAAAAAATAAGGGAAAAGAAAAGAAGGAAGAAGGCAAGTTAGGGAGGAAGGAAGTACCAAAAATTTTTAAAATATCCTCTTAGTAAATTTCTCTTAAAACTCAAAAGATTAAAAAAAATGTTTTTATTGTAACCAGTGACACAGATATGTAAGAGAAAAAGTATTGGTGTCTCTCACACTTCTATTTTTACGCCTTCCCATCAAGTAAACTAATGACATTAAATTTTGTGTATATATTTCTACGTCCTTCTCTAGGGTAACACAAATACATGTACAGCTTTTTTCTCAGTAGACATAATTTTATAACAATTACCTAAGAACTTTATTCATTTTAGTATAGATGACAGATTATCAGAAAATCTGTGAAATTATATGAGACAATATAGAATTATTTAATTCTACTTGTAATTTTAACATTAAAAACTTCAGAGGCATACTTGTTTGCTGGAATATTTAAAATCTGATAATTTAAAATAAATGATGAATTTGTAAAATGGAAATACTTGGATAGTGCATAAAATATTTTAGATTTAGGAACCTTATCACACAAGCAAAGCAAAATGCATATCATAATACTTTTCCTGATATTTCTAATTTTAGACACTAAGGCTAGAAACAGTCTAATGGATCAAATCAACCCAGTAAATTTTTCATTGGTTTTTCTTGGATAAACTTTACAGTATTCACTAATAATGGATATACATCTTAACACTGCAAGTGCACTTTTTCCAAAAGGAAAGAAAACGTATATATCTTATAAGAAATTATTTTCAGTGATTTCTGAAGCCCTTATTCATGGAACCCATTTTAGTGTGTTCGACTGAGTTGGCTTTGCACAACTCTCTGTTATACCAACCATTAGTACCCACATTCACAAGGTGTTTTGATGAAACAAACAATGATTCTCAAACCTAGGAAACAGGAAGTCTATAAACTATGCAAGATTCTTTTATTGTAGCCACTGACACTGAGACCTCAATTATTCATTATCTGTTCAACCTCACCCCTCCAAAATTTTCATAGAACTAAGTTTGCTTTCTCAATATATCTCATTTTTTTCCCTAGTCCAATGAAAGGAAAGGGTAGATGGGATACTGAGGCTCATAAAGACATATTTGTAGTTCAGAGGGACAAAATAAATAAATAAATAAATAAAAATAAAAGGCTCATAAAGACATATTTGTAGTTCAGAGGGACAAAAGAAATAAAAATCAAAAAACAACTAAGCGTGCAACTACCAAAGGCCTGAGGGACAAGGCAGGGAAGCTATTCAGGCTTTCAGCCTTTTAAAATTTGCCCTGATTATATTAGAAAATGATTATCAAATTACCTGTCAAATGTAACCCCTTTTCTGAATAACTTTAAACCACTGCCTCCGGCTAACATAGAAAGCAAGATTCCATGTTTGTGTTCATTGAAACCCTTAAGAGAGCCCAAAGCAAAGTTGATTAATGTATTTGATTAAAAAGGCATACTTTTAAAAATAATTGTGTTAAAAAGTGAGTTTAAAAAAACCATCTTAAGGCCAAATACAGGTTTTAGAAAATGCTTTCTGCAGTCTCACTTCATACAGTAGATCATTTAGAGATCAAGAAATAATTGCATTAAATATGTTAGAGGAAAAGGACAATTCTGACCCCATGATTAGAAACTAGATACCCTGAGATAATCTCCAAATAATATCTTCTGTATTACTGCAAAAATGTATTTTCTGTTTACTGGCAAATGCTATCCACATTTTTTTTGTTAATTAAGAGTTGGATGAAACTTAATTCAGTCATATATTCATAAGCATGTGCTCGACAAAATTTTTAAATAATGAATTCATAGCTGCATTTATGGAATTGTGTGAGGATTACCGACTATCTTGTCATTTAGCAGTCTTTATTAATTGAAGGGCAAAGCATGTGAACTTTAGAGAAGATAAGCAAGCTGGTATTCAGAAGCCTTAAATAAAAATGTTCTTTTAAAATATTTTATTTTAATAGAGAAATACACTGTATTATGTCTAAAAGATATATTGCATGCCTTATTTATCCTTAATGTTCAAAAGGCCTCTAAATGTATTTATTTATTTTTTTGTATATTAATTGATCATCATAGCCAGAACATGCCAGGTAGACCAGTTTTCTTGTGGAAATGGGCGTTGCATTCCCAGAGCATGGCTATGTGACAGGGAAGACGACTGTGGTGACCAGACAGATGAAATGGCATCCTGTGGTAAGTTGTGAGTGAAACATACTGTTAGTAGAGATTGTGTCACATAGAATATCCTATCAGTTTACCCCCCTTTAAAAGGCTAATTCTTTATAAATACAGGAAAAAGAAGCAGAGGATATGTTACTTTTTGTTACATACTTTTGGATCTGAGTGTCCACTTTATGATAACTTCTGAATAATTCCTATTCATGAGATAGAAACTATATTCTCAGCTAAAATTAATGAATATAAACAAAGCAGGTTTTATTAGGAAGTGGTTATTACAAGGCTAACAGGATATTCTCAAGTGTTTATTATTAACCTTATATCTGTAGTGATTAAACTTGTCAAAGAGAATAGTTCATGGAGTAACATTTGAAGTAAGGGAGGAGGACTTATTTCTTATTGGCATGTATATGCTATCTTCTGGGAACAATAAATATTTCAGACTAAGATTACAAAATTGATAAATCACTGTTTTCATTTCTGTAGAGTAATATGATTCTGACTGAATGACAAAATTAGTATTAGTTTCAGTAATATTTTTGTTGATGGGAAAATGCCCACCTTCCACAGATTCTCTTACTTTTGAAAATAGTAAAATTTATTGTCACCTGAAGTTGCAGATTTAATTACTCTCATTTTTACTCATGCATCAGTATGTTTCATTATCATTTGTCTCAAAAACGTCTAGTCAAATGTAGTAACAAAATGAATGAGGTTTGTAAGACTTGTGCTTTATTTTCATTATGGCAAAGGATTTAAAAAATCACTATGGGGAAACTTTACCCATAATTTAGACATGTATAGCATATTTATTGAAATACAATTTTAATAATTTAGCACTGTGTAATAATTTTAATAGTAGAAAAATAAGGTTTTTTAACCCCTCAATTTGTTATTATTTTTTCCTTTCTAAATTCCAGTAGTTTTGTGGGTACAGGTGGTTTTTGATTATATGGCTAAGTTCTTTAATGGTGATTTTTAAGATTTTAGTGAGCTCATCACCTGAGCAGTGTACACTGTACTCAATATGTAGTCCTTTATCCTCTACCGCCCTTCCACCTTCCCTCTACCAAGTCCCCATAGTCTATTACATCACTCTTATGTCTTTGTGTCCTCGTAGCTTAGCTCCCAATTATATGTGATAGCATAACAATATTTGGTTTTCCATTCCTGAGTTACTTCACTTAATATAAGGGCCTCCAGCTCCTCCAAGTTGCTGAAAAGACATAATTTTATTCCTTTATATGGCTGAGTAGTATTCCATGGTATACATGTACAACATTTCTTTATGCAGTCTTTGGTTGGATGGGCAGTAAGATTGCTTCAATGTCTTTTCAATTGCAAATTGTGCTGCTCTAAACATGTGTGTGAATGTATCTTTTTCATAAAATGACTTCTTTTTCTTCAAGTAGATACCCAGTACTGGATTGCTGGATTGAATGGTAGTTCTACTTTTAGTTCTTTTAAGGAGTCACTATACTGTTTTACATGGTGTTAACCTCACAATTTAAATGCCTGTTTTTGGAGGATGCTAACCTAAAGTTTTCTTATGCCAGACTCTATAAATACTTGAGTGTATAACTTCCAAATAAAGTATAGATAAAGTAAAAGGTGCTAAATGACATGGTAAAGAAGATGATAGAGCAGTGGTATAGAAATAAAGCACTACAGAACGACACAGTAGACAACAGCATATTTTACATGTGGAATAAAATATTCGGAGCCTGACCAATAAAGGGGGTTGAGCAGTGTATTCTGTCTCCTTTCCACTATCCAGACTAATTGTGTGGTCCTAAATCTGGCTGAGTCTGCTGCTAAGTTGTTCTATATTTTAGAAAACTTGATTCCTTTTCTACAGTGAGCATCCTCATTCAGAGAATACCAGAAAGGTAATGAGCACTCTAATAACATTAATACAGAGAGGCCCTGGAATCAGAGTCTCAATTCAGATAAGTAATGCCATGAAAACAATTAGGAAAATAAAGTACGAGTTCATTAAAGAACTTCTATTAGGTCTTTGATCTGATTTTCTTTTTTAAGTAATAGGCCTAGGGAAAGACCTGTTTCTTTTTTCTAAGAATAATTTACTTGAATCAAAGGAGGAAAATGCTTAAAAGTTTAATAATAATCTAAATAACTATAATAGCAAACTTGTATGTCTTTTATTAGGTGAGGTGAAGAAGGGTTAGAAGGGATGCATACTTAAAATATGTGCTGGACACATATTTTTCTATTGAATCTTTTTTATAAGAAATCTACAAGGAACATTTTATGGTCCACATATTACAAATAAAGGAATTAAAACTTAGAGACTTTTAGCAACCTGCTCGAGATCACAAAGCAAATAAATAGCAGGACCAGACTATTAATCAGGCACACTTAAACCTAAAACCCAAACATTTTAGGTTGAAATTGTTTCATGATCCATGCATAGGGTGCAGATTATGCCATTATACTTCTATGACTATCTGATTTAAATGCACATGCACTTATAGTAGGTTTCATTCCTTGTTGTGCTGGTAAATGTTTTAACCTTTCCTGGTGGGGAGGAACCCTGATGTATTGTTTGCCTATTTGTATGCTGTAAATACTCCCACCATAGGCAGTATCAAGTTGCCAACATAATTATCTGAATGTGGAATTAGGAACAAATATGCAGTAACACACCAGTATGTAGTATTTCCACTATTCAGATACAACTGACACAAATAATTTGAAGAGCAATGTAGTAAAATTATCAGGAAATTAAAAGTCTCAGGTGTATATTACCTTTGTTTTCAACATTATTTGTTTAGTTGTAAATTTATAAAAATTATTATTTTTAAAAATAATGTCATGTGCTTTACAGCTGGTACATAGAATCAGTGAAAATTTAACAGTAAGCTTTCACAGCCCAGCATGGTGGTTCATGCCTATAATTCCAGTATTTTCAGAAGCCAAGGTTGAGTGCATCACTTGAGACCAGGAGATCGAGACTAGCTGGGCTAACATGGTAAAACCCTGTCTCTACTAAAAATACAAACATTAGCTGGCGTGGTGGTACATACCTGTAATCCCAGATACTGAGGAGGCTGAGGTGGGAGGATTGCTTGATCCTGGGAGGCAGAGGTTGCAGTGAGCTGAGATTCAGGCCTCTATCTCAAAAAAAAAAAAAATCAATCAATCAATAAAAATAGGCTCTCACAAATTGGTACAAGAGGCCGGCTACACATAATTGGACATGAACACATTGAAACAATTTAGCAGCTAGACAGTTTGGTCCTGAAATATAGCCAAATTTTATAGAGTATCGGTAAACTACCGCCATGGGTTAGTTTCAGGACCATTTCTTCTTAACAACCAAGGAAACATGTTTTACTTCAAAATGTTTCTCTCTTCAATAATACACATTTGCCTTTCAGATTGTCATTTAAAATCAAAATTTACATCAGAAGAGAAGCTGACAAAGTGCAGTAGGCATAATTTCACTGTTAAAGTTATTATAAGAGAGAATGGCATAGATCTCTGTAATAGAAACTATTCTTGCACTGCATACAAAATGACAAGGACTGCAATTTTTTAAACAGCACTCACCCTATTTGACACTATTCTATAAATAAATAGAGATTCAACTCATTTCTAGTTTTATTATAAATTTTGTAATGGCCATATTTTGCTTTTGTCACTGGAATAGACCAGCTTCCCAAAGGTTTCATCCTACCTGAAGATTCTACAATCACTTTTTTTCTGTTTATACTTCAGCTCCATGAACAATCTCTTTTATATTTAAAGCTACTGTTTCACATTAAAAATAATATTAAAATTTGGATTTGAAAATATGCAAAGCCTAAGATTAGAAATGTTTCTGCTGGTGATTAGGAGTTGAAGGTACTGCAACTGAAGGGCAAGATTCCACTGGAATTCACTGGCATCCATTTACAAACCTAATTCATCTTACTTGCATTTGTCTTTACAAGTTAATTGCACATTTTAGGTTGAGATTATATGTGGGCACACACTTACATTAATTGGGAAGGCCCTCTGAGGATTCAGCTTTAATCTTTAAGCAGTTGTTTAACTTTTTAGTAGTCTTCACATGTAGAAAGAAGAATCTGTAAATTGATGCTGCAAACAAGAGAAGACATATTCAAATTGTGAAGTCTGTGTTGAAAGTGGACCTTGTGTCAAGGGACTGAATGGTCAATTTAATTTCAAGGATAAGACTAACACTGGTTCTCAACTTAAGCTGTCAATAAAAGAATTACCAGGGGAACTTTAAAATCACCTGCCCACGCCTCACTCCAGAGTTATTAAATAGAATCTCTAGGAATGGGACCCAATAATTAGTATTTTTAATGCTTTCCAAATGGTGAAATGTGTGCTCGAGTTTGAGAACTCAAGACAATACATCAGAGTCTTTTGAGGAGCTTGTTAAAAAAAAAAAAAAGATTGCTGGGCCCCATTCCTAGTGTCTTTAATCCAGTCAGTCTCAGGTGGGGCCCAAGAATTTACATTTCTGTTAGGTTGGTGCAAAAGTGATTGTGGCTTTTGCCAGTATGGAAAAAAAAATGCAATTACCATTGCATCAATCTAATAACAAATTCTCAATTAATGCTAATCCTTGTACCATGTGTATTTGATTTTATCTTCTGTGCACTTATGTGACATAAGAATGTTAATATATACAAAACTGGTTTAAGATAGGAGCAATTATCCTTACAAATTTCCTTCCCATCTGTATTAGTCTGTTTTCACATTGCTGGTAAAAACATACTAAAGACTGTACAATTTACAAAAGAAAGAGGTTTAATTGAACTTACAGCAGCCCCACAAACGTGGTGGAAGGCAAGTTGGAGCAAGTCATATATTATATGGATGGTAGCAGGCAAAGAGAAAGATTAGGCAGGGAAACCCCCTTTTGATACCTTCAGAACTCGTGAGCCTTGTTCACCATATCAAGAACAGCATGGCAAAGACCTGCCCCCTTGATTCAATTACCTCCCACTGGGTCCCTCCCACAACATGAGGGAATTCAAAATGAGAT